CATAATAAAAATAATCGCAAATGCGGTTGACGGACATAATCACTGGAAATGTGTCTATAATATTCTCTATGTCTGTGTTCTAATATAATTGTTTCCACTCGATGTTGATAATACCCATAAAATTGGTTTGTTGTTTGTTGCTGTGGAGCAAGTTCTCAAGTGTCCAATGTGTTTATTGTACTAATGATGAGCTAATTAATTAAATCTTGTCCATCTATTAAGACTGTGACTGTCCTGCACCGGACCTGTCCACGTTCAATGGCCGCTGCATGGCCCTGGTTCTCGTGCTGTAGCTTAGGCCCTGGATTTGTAGCCCATCCGTCCGTGTGGAGCGGGTCTCTCTCTCAATGTGGATCTACTGTACCTGAGGTTTCTCACTTTTTTCCCACTGGGTTTTTGTGAGTTTTTCCTTGCCGATGCAGGAGGGTCTGTTGGACAGTTAGTGTCTAACAAAAAGGACTGTGGTGATGATCCAGGACACTTTAACATTCTACAACATGTATCGACATTCATCAACATGTGTTATATATTCTTTTTTTGGGTCTTTACAGTAGATTCTCTGATCTGTGTTGGTGATTTCAATGGTTTTGTTAAGTCCTCTGAGATGACTATTGTTGTGATTTAGGGCTATACAAGAATAAATTGTATTGTATTGTATTGTTATTAAGAACAAGGCAATTGCAAATGCATGGAAGTTGTAGCAATGATCACGCATTTTAATCGAGTTAGTGATGGACTTTTGTTTGTCTTTCTCAAAATACTTTTGTTCAAACCACAAAAAATGTAACCCTATTTTAGTAATAATATTAAAACTATATGTTGATCCTTGTAAATCCAGATATGAGCCATATAAGGGTTGAATAATCAGATTCCTTAATTTGCGGGGAAAACTTACCTTAGCGGCCATCATCGAGTCTGGTTTTAGATATTGAATTCATGGTCCTGAATTTACCCAAAACGCTCATAGGTGGTTGGCCTGTAAGATTTAAGATGGACAGAGTAGCATAGACAAGGAATCATTAATACAAGGAATGTCAGACTGGATAAGGAAGTCTGTTAATGCGTGCAGGATCGGTTGTTTAGACAGCATCTGTGTCAATTATCCCCCCACACACAAGTTTATATAGCATCTGTTTGTGTCTCCCTGAATAGAATTGTCTCCTCTATAGGAACCATAGTTTTACTGATTAAACAATAGAAACATGTCACCATAAGTAGAACTCTGTAGTCCAACCTTTGACATGCTTGTAATCTGGAAACAGAATTATCCAATCAATTTTTATAGTGCCTTGTTTCTTCTCAAAAACATTCTAGTGCAAAACCCGGCTCTTGCCTCAACGTATAGATGCGTGTCAATTTTTTAGACTAGTTTAGCCGCTGTGCACTTTTGAATGCACTTGTTTTATGAATGGGATGTGTCAGGCCTGTGCTGGCGACCGCATGCGCAAATATGTTTTATCATATTTTCCTGCGGGAGGGGCTGCTCGCGGCCATTTTGAAATTGTGCATGTTGGTCACACATACATTTCAACAGACAGAATGAGGCGTATTTCCTCTGTTAATATTTACAGTCTATTAGTCCATGTAAACAACTCAAGTTTTCCAGTAGTCAGAAGGTCCAGCTCTTCTTGAATTCTTGACCAAAGTGTGTGATATCTTATTGACTGATGCTCATGATGCAATGCAGATGGCCCGATGGTGTAGACCTCACACAATCATGCTTTCAGATAGATTGAGCAAAGGTTAGTATGTGTACATCCACCAGGAGCTGTATGAAATTAACTAAAGCTCTACACTGGAGATAACGTCGCCCATTTTAGTCCATTGAGAATTTGCCTTCACAAACTCTGCCACCTCGCGCCTCTTTGCTTTCTCTCGTGATCTTTTCTGTGAACCTCCTCACGTTTCTCTTCTCTTAGCAATTCAGCAGCCACAGGATTACACAGGGTTCTCGTGTCGCACTGCCTTATCAGCTGCAGGCAGGGAGCGCCGTGTGGTTGTACGGTATCCATCCTCAATTCAGGACGTTAAAGTTACATTCTTACACAAGCAATGGCATTTATTGGTGAGACAGAAAAACTGGTGGTTATTTGTTATAGTTTTACATTAGCCTAGTGGGTGTTCGTGGCAAAAGGTTAAAATGTAATCTCTCCCCTCACGTCATCACATTCAGAGACAATTTGCACAAAAGTTTAAAGAGTTAAGATAAGATAAGATATTATATCTCACAACGGAGAAACGTACTTGTCACATTTGGCAGAGACAGGATCACTCAAGGTGTGCAAAAAGACAGGAATTGTGCAAAAATGTTAAAAAACTTAAAATAGTCTCTTTTGTGTCAGATTTATTATGTACAACAAAAAGTGACTACAGCAGAAACAGTTTTTCAAGATTAAAATGTTGTGGTATGTTTCTACTGTCTTGTTTGTTCACAATTGCTAGCATGTGGTTAGCAAGTGGTAAATACCTCTTCATGTGTCATAAGTAAGTAATCTTTATTTATATACCGCCTTTAACAGACCAGAGTCAAAAAGCGGTTTGCCATTGTGGGCATTTGTCTCCCACTCCACACAGAGATGGGAACGGGATACAGGAGGCGCATGCCAGAACTATTGTACTTTGTTTAGTGGTAGGGGAAACCGGAGTACCCGGGGCCGGGGGTAACCCATGCAGACACAGGGAGAACATGCAAACTCCACTCAGAAAGGCCCTGTTTCGACCGGGATTCAAACCCAGGATTTTCTTGCTGAGAAGCGAGAGGGCTATCCATTCAGCCACCGTGCCGCCCACGCCCATAACTGTGTGTCCAACCAGGAAGTCATAAACTTTGCATCCTTGCTGATGGAGGAGGGTCTGAGGACATTGATGGTGATCAGGACACTCAACATTGAACAACATTTACCAACGTTTATCATTGTGTTTTCTTTATTCAATTCAATTGAATGTTTTCTTGTATAGTCAGGGGAGACAGAAGATCTTTCTTCTAATCTGGACTTTCAATCAAAGTAAGAAGTCATATAAACTGTGAGAACGCCACCGGACTAACCTTGTAAGTCCGTGGGAGGAATTTGTCAATCTCTGTGTTTCATGTTGAAAATGCTATTTTTATTAGAAGGACGATGTTAAATCTGACTTTTAAAGTCAGTGCCTCCCAATCACAAACCTCACCGTACATCACTGGTTGAATACAATACACAGATCAGAGAAACAAACAGTTAAAACACAAGAAATACAACAGAAACACATAAAGCCATTGGCCCATAAGAGACAGACAGACAGGCAGACAACCAATGTCCATAAGTGTCGATAAATGTCCATAAGTGTTGTTGAATGTTGAGTGTCTTGGATCCTCACCATTGTCCTTTTAGTAAGACCTCAAAAGTTCAAAAAGCATTCGTTTTCAGCCGTACTACCAAGAAACATTTGAATTTTGAACAATGTAGTGTGTACTCTCTCATTGATAATAAAGGAGGCAGCTGTCTTGCGTTGGCCTCAAACTCCCAAAGGAGTACTCCTGCTTTCATTCATTGACCTCTGACGAAGGTGGGAGTCTGCCGCCCAAACATGTGGTAAGCTTCTACTGTAGCTTCTTTACATTTTCGTCTTATTAAAACAACCTTCTGAGCCTGACACATAAAATTAGACATAACTAACTTTTTACGTTTAGCTTTAAATCATTGTCTGCACATTTATTGCGTACTTGTAGCTCAGTGTTGAAGTGAACAGTTTCTCTGGTGTGTTTTGTACAGAAATCCCACCTACACAACTATATATATGCAGCTCCCGTCAAACCTCTGAAGCTGGTTAGCAATATGATGGGAGACCACTAGGAACACCAGGTCCCACACTGGGAACGCCAGGTCCCACACTGGGGCGGCTGCCGCTATACTGTTGTTGTGTCTTTAGGCAAGACACTTCACCCACATTGCCTACTGTAGAGTTAGTCTGGTATGCGTGAATGGTTAGTGGTGGTCGGAGGGGCTGATTGCACTGACTGGTTGCCTCGCTTCTGTCTGTGTGCCCCAGGGCAGCTGTGGCTACAGCAGTAGTTCACCACAGTGTATGGAGTGAACGAATAATGACATGTGAAAAAAATAAATGACATGTCCAAAAAGCGCTAAATAAAACTGCTGCATCAAAAAACAGCATTATTATCAGTATTATTATTATTGACTGCATTGGATGAACTTGAGCTTTGTTATAATTTGCATTCACATTGTGCCACAGTCAGTTTTCCTGCCGTCTCTCTTACAACCCACGCTCTTGTCCTATTAGGACATGAATATATTAGAACTACATTTCACAGAGGTCATGCTAATCACTGGCAACAGGAAACATTCAACAGACTGTTCTCAGCTCACATTTAGTCCATAGCTTTTTGAAAGAAGGTTCATGTGGCTCCTATTTACCTCTGATGTAGTCATTATGTAGTGGTGGTTCGTTCCTGCTTAATCTTAATCTTAAACTGTATCATTGTATTTTGTATTTCAAGGCATTTCCTTCAACGATAAAACTGTTCTAGCTAAAAACATATATTATCAAATACGTCCTTAAACCCTGTGAATGTGTGTTTTCTGGCATGTTGCCAGTGGGAGCCTGAGTCTTTGATCTGTGTCTGTGATAATCGATCTGCTCTGTTTGCACGTTATCAATGTTCTGGTAAAGTGTCACTGAGGCATGTCTGGCTGCCACACTCCACCATAGTTCATCATTCCCTCACCACTTATCTACAAGTACACATCAGATGCCTTTTAAACGTGTTGGCATCCCTTGATCCTTGGAAGGGAGTCAAAATTGTCTACATCTCATTCACGGACTATTTATTTTTCTTCCTCTCTGTGTGAAATCTTTGAACCGTTTCTCTTTTTTTTCTTCCTGGCGTCTCATCTCCATGCAGACAGGGCATCTCTCTCAGCTTGTTTGATGGATTTAGCCCCAGACGAGAGCGTGTCTGTGCATCCCAATGACCTTGTCCATAAATAATAAGTGTGTGTGGGCGCATGCTGATCAGCTGGTTACTGCGCTTGCCCCGTATAGGTCCTCCAACACATAGAGCGAAAGAGGTAATTTGTCCTTTGCAGAGGTTATACTGAAATATGAATGAATGAATGAATGAATGAAATATTTATTTCAAAACCTGCACACATAATTTTACAGAAAACAAAACAAAAGCAAAAACACGTACAGGGATTGAAAAGGGGTTGGAGGAAGCAAAATGCTTATGTTAATCCAACCCCCCTCACCCAGACTCACAGGACAATCAATACAAATACATGTGGAAATGGGGATGGACGTGTGGAATTGTATGAATGTGTGTTTGGTAGGAGAAGGACTGACAGAAATTCCATGAGAGTCAATGAAATATAAGATTGTAGTAAGTAAGTAGTAAGTATATCTATTCACAGTGCATTTCATAGACCAAGGTCAAAGCACTTTGGGTGTAAAGTGCTTTGATGCGCCAATGTATTGCGCATCGAAGGTCAAAGCACTTTCCACACAAAATTATAAAGTGCTTTGACTGACCATCACCATCCATTAACTCTTCTTACAATTGTTCACCGCAAAAGTTTGCTGTGAATGTTCCCCGTGCCTGTGTAAGTTTCCTCCAGGGGCTCCGGTTTCCCCCACCACTAAAAACATGCACAATATGTAAAATCCTCCAGCTCTGTTAGTCCTGAACAAGCCGAGCATCATCTGGATATGGGTCCCCGGGCGCTGTACTACGGCGAACACTGCTCCTGATAGACGACCGAGTGGCCTCAGGATGGGTCAAATGCATAGAATGAGTTGCCCTACGGGGATAAATAAAGCGCACCTTTACCTTCACCTAAGTCTCCAAGACCCAGCAATTTCACATTGCTTTGCAGTTAATATTGGATAAGTCATATCAAGCCGGACCAATGAAAGGAATCTGGTAAATACATATGTAATTAAATAAAGGGCAAGTTTAGTATCATGAGGTATTTTCAGCAAAGAAACTGAAGAAGATGACATAGTCTGGGATCGCGTCTTTAATTCAGACAGAAGACATGTTTTATTGTCGATGGTAGAGACAGCACGAACAAAGCACACGATCACAGATACAAGAGAATGCAAGTGTATTATACAGAGCGTTGGCATGGAGACCTCCAATCAGCAGCTTCCACGGTGCCATGTAGCTTGGCCTTCAGATAGACACAACAAGGGAAAAGTACTGGCTTCTGCACATTGATAGAATGATGAGTTTAACTTTAACAAAAGTTGCTTCAAAGTGTTATGAAATCTCATATTCCCCCCTCTGGTCATACATTCACGTGTGACCATCAGGATCGATAAACAGCAACATAACATCATGACTCAATACTTCAAAAACTCAAACTCGGTACTTCAAAAAACTCAGAACTCGGAATACTTCAAAAACTCAGAAAACTCATAAAACATGTTCAGATCTTTCATAAAACTTGTCAACAATCTTCAGTAAAATACCAAACTTCATCAGTCGATGGTGGTTCCAGACATTGCTTTGAAAACAGTCTCTCCCACTTCTCCGTGTTGATTCTTCAGGCTGCATATGTCAGCATCTGTTGTGTCGAGCCATGAATTCTTCTGTGACGTGTCTTTCAATCACACGTTTCAGCTTTAGTGTCCAGATTCAGCAATTCAATTCAGTCCAAATTATGTCCAAATTCAGAAATCCAATTGTTCCAAATCATGTCCAAATTGTGTAATCCAATTTTTCCAAATGATGTCCATGCAAAAGAGGACGCTGGTGTTGTCCATGTCTCAGCAGCTCACTGCCTGAGTAGAATCAGGGGCTGTGCAGATTGTCCATGTGCTGATCCAGATGCATGGTTTCTCTTGAGGTTTCTCAGTTTTGGCTTAAAAAAAAAAACACTTTTTGTGTAAAAAAAAGTCTTCTGTTCTCTAGATGTTACAGACAAGGCCCGCATCCTTCCACCACCTGAAGAAGATGACATAGTCTGGGATCGCGTCTTTAATTCAGACAGAAGACATGTTTTATTGTCGATGGTAGAGACAGCACGAACAAAGCACACGATCACAGATACAAGAGAATGCAAGTGTATTATACAGAGCGTTGGCATGGAGACCTCCAATCAGCAGCTTCCACGGTGCCATGTAGCTTGGCCTTCAGATAGACACAACAAGGGAAAAGTACTGGCTTCTGCACATTGATAGAATGATGAGTTTAACTTTAACAAAAGTTGCTTCAAAGTGTTATGAAATCTCATAAAACTCTTCATGACAACAAGCGGGTAGCAATAGAAAACGCTTAAACACCGGAAAAAGTGGGCGTGGGCTGGATCACACTTTTTGGCCGGCAAGTTGAATTGGCTTGGACTATGGCTTTTCAAAATTTGCAACTCAGCCCGTTCATTTAACACATTTTGCCCTATGAGGGAAAAATGGAAACGCAGCAAAGACAGTTCTGGAGCTCCTGTTTGACTTGATTGTCCACTTTGACTGCACAATATCAGAAAAAAAGTATGATACACAGTAGTTGTATGCAGAGGTCCCTCATTTATTGCGGGGGTTACGTTCTAAAAATAACCTGCAATTAGTGAAATCCCAATTATGTTTTAAGGCTGTAAAACCCCTCACTCACAGGTTTTTAAACACCTGAACTCACAACTGTTGAAGTGAGAGAGACCAGAGATATTTAAATAATAAAACCTAAATTTCTTTCTTTTTAGCTATTTTCCTGTGCAATCATGTTTACTGTGATCCTGCTTCAATGGCACATTTAGACTTAGACTTAGACAGACTTTATTGATCCACAAGCGATATTGCGTTGTTACAGTAGCTCACATAGTATTTCACAATAAAAATGTTTAAATAACATTAAAGTAACAATCTGAAAATGAGAAAAATAATAAGATTACATTTGTGAGAATAGAATAATCTGGATGTTGGTGCTCAGGAATACACATTTGTTAAAGACACTGTATTGTATCAAAACTAGTGCTGTCAAACGATTAAAATATTTAATCGCGATTAATCGCATGAATTTCATAGTTAACTCGCAATTAATCGCAAATTAGTCACACATTTGTGTGGGTGTGTGTGTGTGTGTGTGGGTGTATGTGTGGGTATAGACCATAGACTGTATAGAAACATCATGGTGTCATTATGATGATGATAAACAATCTGTAAATATTTTGTAAATTTGTTCATGTAAATACTCTATGCTGTTTCTCTGTTTACTTTCGGTATATTTATGACTGTATACTGTTTGCTTGTATTGCCTTTTTTATTAACCCCTCCCCCCCATCTCCCACTTCATGCCCCCCCCCCCCCCCCTCCTATGTGCCCTTCTGGGTTTCTTCTTTGGCCCCCCTGTATTTCCAACTACATATTGTTTGTAATCTCTGTCTACAATGTATCTGAACTAGTCCTTTTCTTTGTTTCTATTTTTTTTTCTGTATATGTGTTTGTCTGCAATAAAAAGTAAAAAAATAAAAAATAAAAATAAAATAAAAAATGTATCGCGCGATAAAAAAAATGACGCCGTTAATATTGATTTGCGTTAACGCGTTAATAACGCGATATTTTGGACAACACTAATCAAAACATATTGATACTTTTCAAGTCCACGTTCATTCCGTACGTGTGATTTGCTTGAATTCACTACCCTCTATTGTTATATTTAGAGCTCAAGGTGTGATGAAAGCTATTATTGTGATTAAGGCCTATGCAAGTATTAATTGAATTGAATTGTTCTTTTTGGACAGTAGTATTAAGCCAGAGATTATTAGCTGACACGTTTGTGAACTCGCCTCTGTTTTTGTGTTTTCAGTTCTGGAGCTTATGTGGTAATGCGCTCACACCCAAACGTGGCGTATTTGGAAAAACGGGCGACCTGCAGACCATCCTGTGCCTGGCCTGTGCCAAGGACGAGGTCACCTACTCCGGAGCCCTGAACGGGGACATCTATGTGTGGAAAGGAATCAATCTGATGAGGACAGTCCAGGGGGCGCATGGGGTAAGTGGTGTCCCTCGGCTCTGGGTGAATCCATTGACCTTCTCTTGTAAACCTAAAGCGAATGTTGGGTTTTTTTGGCCCAAATTGTTGCCACGCCTCTATACAGAGTCCAGACAGGCTCCATTTGATTCCTCTGTGCAGGAAAAAAAGGGATCAGCCTTTTGCTACACAGGATTAAATGATATCTATGAGATCAACAGCTGGGAGACGGGCTGGCATGGGGGAGGGGAATGTGGACAGTGCATTCTCCAGTCAGCTATAAAGGAAGAAATAAAAAAGACACTAAAAAACAATGACAAGCTAATGATATGTTGTGTTATTTGAATCCTAATTATACAACTTGTATCTATCAAGATGCAATTGTATGTTGTGGTTTTAGATTTTTTGCATACAGTTATGCTAGCTTTAACAAAGGAAATCACACAAGTATCACCCAAGCTTTGTTTAGGTCTAATGTATATCTAAAAAATCCCAAATTTACTGGCCTTTACGATCTAAACCACTTATCAATAAATCAATTGGTAGAACATTCAGACAACAATGCTTAAGTACAGCCCTAAATGTTATGAATGGTAAAGTAAAGATGTTTGGGTTTAAAAGTGAGTAGTGAAAGTGAAAAGTTGTTCTTTTTATTAGTTTATTTGAATTGGGACAGTACACAATAATCAATTAATAATCATTACTGTATCAAATCATCAAATCAAATTTTATTTATGAAGCGCTTTTCATACAAAAGATGCAACACAAAGTGCTTTACAGTTTGGTTAAAAACAGTCCCGCCGGCCCATGTCCCCTCCCCCCGACCACCCAACAGACCCATCCCAAACCACAGACAAACACACACACGCTCCCATGCACACTCTCTGACACACACACACACACACACGCACACACACACACACACACACACACAAGTAAAACAGTAAAACAATGATGAGAGACTTGGCAGGGTTCGGATGCAACCAGTTGAAAAAGCTGGTTGCATCCGAACGTGCCGAATGGCACTACTGTAAATGTGCCATTATTAGCTCTGAAGCAAGTTTCCAACTGTAGTCCCGACGCAAGTTGTAAAGAGTCAGCAGAAAACACCCCAAACATTACATTATAAAATATGCATACAAGTTCAGACAAATTAGTTAAAATATAACAATTAAAAACAGGTAATTAGAAAATATAACACACTTTTTTAGCACCGGTTTTATCCAGACTGATCTCTGTCTAGCTGACATAGATCGGCCACTGGAAGATTTTCCCTGAATTTTACACATTTTTTGTGGCCGGATTGTTATGATCCAGCACCAAAAACTAGAGCACAATGGAAACACAACCAGAAAGAGTAGAGGAGAGTAGGGCCTGTAAAGGTCTCCTGTGTGACATCAGTGCCTTGCGAAGGTATTCGGCCCCCTTGAACCTTTCAACATTTCGCCACATTTCAGGCTTCAAACATAAAGATATAACATTTTAATTTTTTGTCATGAATCAATAACAAGTGGGACACAATCGTGAAGTGGAACAAAATTTATTGGATAAATTAAACTTTTTTAACAAATAAAAAACTGAAAAGTGGGGCGTGCAATATTATTCGGCCCCTTTACTTTCAGTGCAGCAAACTCACTCCAGAAGTTCAGTGAGGATCTTTGAATTATCCAATGTTGTCCTAAATGACTGATAATGAACTGCAGATAACTACAGCTGAGGTGGGGATGGTGTGTTCAGGGTGATGAGCTGTGTTGCTTTTACGCCAAACATATGGTTTTGCATTGTGGCCAAAAAGTTCGATTCTGGTTTAATCTGACCAGAGCACCTTCTTCCACATGTTTGGTGTGTCTCCCAGGTGGCTTGTGGCAAACTTTAAAAGACTTTTTATGGATATCTTTGAGAAATGGCTTTCTTTTTGCCACTGTTCCATAAAGGCCAGATTGTTGTCCTATGGACAGACTCTCCCACCTCATCTGTAGTTATCTGCAGTTCATCCAGAGTGATCATGGGCCTCTTGTCTGCATCTCTGATCAGTAGTGATGGGTCGTGCCGCGTCGGCGCTTCGGGGCGTGAGCCGAGAAATCCCTGAAGTTTTTATCGGAGCGCGGGCCGAAGCCTGAGTTGTTTTAGATGAGTGACGTCACTAATGACGTTTGAAGCCTCGGGAGCACAGGAAATGGAGCGATTCATGAAGTACTGCAGAAGATCCGCTCAAACTGTGTGTTTGTCTTGGTGATTAATGTAGTCAGTGATGGAGAGGGCGTGATATCAGTTGGTTGGCTCAATTGATAGGGAAGCAGGGCTGGGACCTGGGAGACCGGGGTTCGAATCTCACCGGGAGTGCATCGATGTAAATACACGTGAAAGAATTTTGTCAGACATTTTTTGGTTTTAAACAACTGATGGGGTCACAATCCCAAATGATATCCCCATTTGTGTCACGTCCTTTGAAAAGCACTTACACTTTCAACATGTCTTTTGTCCCATTGGATTTATAACATTGATTTTGACTTGAAAAGCTATAATCATTCATCATTAAATATGTATATAAATATATATCTACATATATGTATATGTGTGTGTGTGTGTGTGTGTGTGTGTGTTTTAGAGCAGACAACTGTACCAGTACATTATATTTTATTGTCATTTAAAATATATTCATTTTCACTACTGATATTGATCATAATGAAACAGATGAATTAATGGGTCATACACAATCAAATTACATTTTTATTTCTGTTACTAGTATTAATTCCTATGCACCAAGAGCCTCACAAACAGTTCAATTGTCAATACAGATTTTGACCAACAGGAGGTTTGTGAGCATATGAAGCATCAAGAAATGAACCTTTTCTCGAACCAATGGATGAAAAGGTTCAACACTTCATGAAGCTTCATCAACCCATCACTACTGATCAGTCTTCTCCTTGTTTGAGATGAAAGTTTGGAGGGACGGCCGGGTCTTGGTAGATTTGCAGTGGTCTGATACTCCTTCCATTTCAATATAATTGCTTGCACAGTGCTCCTAGAGATGTTTAAAGCTTGGGAAATCTTATTGTATCCAAATCCGGCTTTAAACTTCTCCACAACAGTATCTCGGACCTGCCTGGTGTATTCGTTTGTCTTCACGGTTCTCTCTGCGCTTTAAACAGAACCCTGAGACTATCAAAGAGCAGGTGCATTTATACGGAGACTTGATTACACACAGGTGCATTCTATTTATCATCATCAGTCATTTAGGACAACATTGGATCATTCAAAGATCCTCACTGAACTTCTGGAGTGAGTTTGCTGCACTGAAAGTAAAGGGGCCGAATAATATTGCACGCCCCACTTTTCAGTTTTTTATTTGTTAAAAAAGTTTAAATTATCCAATAAATTTCGTTCCACTTCACGATTGTGTCCCACTTGTTGTTGATTCATGACAACAAATTTAAATTTTATATCTTTATGTTTGAAGCCTGAAATGTGGCGAAAGGTTGAAAGGTTGAAGGGGGCCGAATACTTTCGCAAGGCACTGTATCTTAGGGCTGGAGGAAGTGGGGTTTTAGTTACGTACTTAAAGGAGGAGGAGGTTCTACTTCCTCCTAATTGACAATTAAGACCAGAGTATTTGGTTCAGAAAGTGGAGAGGGCGGTTCTTTCCTAAAATTTGGGAAAATCCTCCTATATGCCTTTAATAATGTGATTTCTGTCCTACTCAACAGAACACACTCTATATATCCTAATGATGTTTTCCTGGAGCAGCAGGGGACCGGCTGGATCTCTGGCTGGTTGCTCTGGCTGGTGATCTGTGGTTGCTGCTCATTTCCAGCACAGATCTTTAGTGACAGTTTGTCATTTCCTCCAGTCAGGGATTTTCAGCATGAACGCCTGCGAAGAGGGCTTTGCCACCGGGGGCCGAGACGGATGTGTGCGGCTGTGGGATCTCAACTTCAAGCCAATTACTGTCATTGATCTCAGGGAAACAGACCAAGGTTATAAAGGTAGGGTTCCAGCAACTACTTTTGGATTTCAACTAGTAGCTTCAAAAAGTATAATAAATTCTGTCTGACGGTGTTGTATCCTCACTGCTGTTTTACCGTCATGTTTTTTGCACTTTGATAAAAACAAACATACATGATTATTAGTTGGGGTATCTTACTTATTCATGAACATTACATTGCCTATGTCCCAAGTCCAACTGAAAGAGTTTAGTAAAAGTGAGCGAAAGGCAAGGCAGGCAAGTCTGTTTAAGATTAAGCTTAACTAAACGGGAGAATTTCAGTGTTGCATCACAAGTTATAGAACAGTAGGAATGAGGAGCACACAGCACACACAAGATAAAAGATAAATAGCTGTACTAATTAAGATAGAACAAAATCTCTAACTCTAGCATCAAAGAAACAAGTACAAAATCTCTATCTTGAACATAATGTATGTATGTGTGAGATGGGGCTGGAAATGTTAAGCGCCTGCTTCAACCTTTTCAATATGTGACATATTTTTCATTTGATAATTGATATTTGTGTCTTGTTTTGAAATAAATGAATAATAAATAAAAGAAGTATAATAAAATTACAATTGGCAAACTAAGACAAGTATAATGTATTGTGTATTCTAGTGCAAGTGTACACAAGTTCATACAAAAAGTAACTCAAAGTGCTTAAAGTAAAATCCTTGACCTTAAAATATGTTTATTCAGAATATGAAACTCATATGAGACCAAATATCCTTTTTCCACTGGTATGTCTGTGTTGGGCGGCACGGTGGCTGAGTGGATAGCACTCTCGCCTCTCAGCAAGAAGGTCCTGGGTTCGAATCCCGGCCGGACCAGGGCCTTTCTGAGTGGAGTTTGCATGTTCTCCCCGTGTCTGCGTAGGTTTCCTCCGGGTACTCCGGTTTCCCCTACCACTAAAAATATGTACAATAGGTCTGGCATGCGCCTTCTGTTCGGCGACCCCGCTCCCATTTCTGTGTGGAATGAGAGACAAGTGCCCAAAAAATAACAATTGTAAACCGCTTTGTGACTCTGGTCTGTGAAAGGCGGTATATAAATAAAGCTTACTTACTTACTTACTTACTTGTCTGCAGGGCTGTCGGTGCGCAGCGTGTGTTGGCGAGGAGACCACATCCTTGTCGGCACTCAGGACAGTGAGATCTTTGAGATAGTGGTCCACGATCGCAACAAACCATTCCTCATCATGCAGGGTCACTGTGAGGGCGAGCTGTGGGCGCTGGCTGTGCACCCAAACAAGCCCTTAGCCATGACGGGGAGTGACGACCGCTCAGTCAGGTAAGCTAGAGCTACAGTTTAGGTAAAGGGTAAGGGTAAGGTGGGCAAATGTTTTCTGCTGGTGTCTTGGGTATATTGTGGAGGACTGGACTCATCTCCATGGGAATACCATTTCATTTAATTTGGAAACAACATATTTGAGTGTAATTGACTTCTGTTAAAAATGTATTCAAAATGTATGTATTTGATTAACAAAAATATTTACAATAGAGGGAAAGCACATTCGACTTCACCCATTTCCTCAAGTGAGTCTAGACTGCCCTGGAGACTTTAGGAAATGGGTGGAGTCTGTCGTGCTCCTGCTTGGTTGGAAGGAAAACCTGCACCCACACTAGAACTTTTGAGGACCGGTTTTTACTCCCCTGGTCCTGATAGATCTCTTTGCTCTACTTTGCAATTCAAAATCCATTACCACAGCTTCATCTTTAATCCTACACAATTGCGGTCCTTTGTGTTGTGGTTTCCATTGGTCATCCCCCATTCTGTCCTCTTTGTTTGAGCAGAATATGGAGCTTGATTGACCACGCACTAATAGCGCGCTGTAACATGGAGGAGCCCATCCGCTGCGCAGCTGTGAGCACCGACGGCATCCATTTGGCGCTGGGAATGAAAGATGGCTCCTTCACCGTCCTCCGAGTCAGGTGGGCACGCAAAAGGCCAAATGAGAAATGTCTGTGGCGGGAGAACGACAGATGATGATAAAGAGCTCAATTATTTCCTCAGTTTGGCCACGGACACTTTGAACCGAAGCCACAATTCAATGTATTTTCCTCCGCAGAGATATGACAGAAGTGGTGCACATCAAGGACAGGAAGGAGGCAATTCACGAGCTCAAATACTCTCCCGATGGGACCCACTTGGCGGTGGGCTCCAATGATAACTCGGTGGACATCTATGGTGTGGTGCAGAGATATAAGAAAGTGGGCGAGTGCATCAGCTCCAGCAGCTTTATAACGCATATGGACTGGTCGACGGACAGCAAGTACTTACAGACCAACGATGGTGGTGGGAGAAGACTTTTCTACCGGATGCCAAGTAAAAAAGCTATTATATTAAAGTGATTTTCAAGAGGACATAACATGCAAACATTTGGCAACATTTTGAGGAAAGCAAGACATGGCAATTTCTACTTAGTACAGTTCATACACAAGGCAACTCAAAGTGCTCATAAAGTAATCATTAGTATTAGTATTAGCATAATCACAGTATTTTATAAATCCCTCAGTGTTTTGTAACCTCTGCCAATGTAGGCATGTTGTTTCATTTGTGTGTTGGACCCTAAAGCAGAGACAGAGACCAAAAAGTGATGAATCCGAAACAGTTCAAAAACAATCAAATAACAGAAGAGCAGGCAGTGGAGACTGGGAGTTGGCTGGCTATACGGACCCAAACACAAGACAAAAAAACAGTAAGCAAAAAACAAAAAAGGAAAAAAACAAGCTGATCCACTAACTTGTGAACAATCTGGCAGGGAAGTGGAGTCTGAACCAGAGTTTTGAGAACAGAGTGAATATAATGCAGGTGTCAATGTCTCTCGGCAGCTAATTGAGAAATATACAAAGGGAGGGTGAGGCAGTGCGAGAATTAGACAAATGAAAAGCTTTATTTCACTCATAAATATTAATCAAATTATTATTTTGTAGCTTTGTGTTAAAATTAGAATGAGAAAATAGAAATTCTATATCAATTAATTTAAATAGATCTTATTTGTTTGGCTTATCTATTTCACATGTTATGGCTTCTTTCCATAATTGTACGACAGAAGATTTCCATTCTAAGTGAAATTTGTCTTTTGTGGAGGTGGGAAGGAGGTGTCCAACAGGGAGGAGCTGAAGCTGGTGCAGTGGGCATCCTGGACTTGTGTGCTGGGGCCAGAGGTCAATGGAATATGGCCTAAATATTCCGATATAAACGACATCAACTCTGTAGATGCCAATTTCAACAATCAAGTATTAGTGACCGCAGATGATTATGGACTTGTCAAACTGTTACGATATCCCTGCATCAAAAAAGGTATCTTATTCCCTTAATGCCTTGTCTCGAAAAGCATGTTTCAGTATCATGTTATCATTTTTTTGTTTCATTTGTTCACTGTCAGGTGCAAAGTGTAAAAGGTATTTAGGTCATTCGGCGCACATAACCAACGCAAGATGGTCGCACGATTACCAGTGGGTCATAACTATAGGTGGCGCGGATCATTCTGTGTTTCAATGGAAATTTATCCCAGAACGGAAAACAAAAGAGACTCTTCATATAGCACCGCAAGGTATGTGACAAAACTTACCCTCCTTGATTTGTAAATACATAATTTATGTTCAAATAGCTACAACAAGCCTGTGTCATGCTTTAACCCTGTAACGGTTTCCCCAACCATTTGGTGGATCACTTTTTGAGTCACTGTATCTACTTGAAGCTTGGAACTGAAATCTACCTCATTGGGGCCCATCAAACTGCATCCATTGATAAAGGCCAAACATAAAAACTAGAGGTTAAGAAAACCCATAAAAACAGATTATTTGTGTTATTATGTGTTATGCTGTGTTATGCTCCTACATCTTAGATTTGCTTTCTTCAAGGAGTGAACATGAAGAAAGCATGGGCATGGGTGGCTGAGTGGATAGCACTCTCGCCTCTCAGCAAGAAGGTCCGAATGGGTTCGAATCCCGGTCGGACCAGAGCCTTTCTGAGTGGAGTTTGCATGTTCTCCCCGTGTCTGCATAGGTTTCCTCCGGGTACTCCGGTTTCCCCTACCACTAAAAATATGTCCAATAGTTCTGGCATGCGCCTCCTATACTGGCGACCCCGCTCCCATCTCTGTGTGGAGTGAGAGACATCCATCCATCCATCCATTTTCTTCCGCTTTATCCGTTGCCGGGTCGCGGGGGCAGCAGTCTAAGCAGAGACGCCCAGACTTCCCTATCCACACACACTTCCTCCAGCTCGTCCGGGGGGACCCCAAGGCGTTCCCAGGCCAGCTGAGAGACATAGTCTCTCCAGCGTGTCCTGGGTCTTCCCCGGGGCCTCCTCCCGGTAGGACGTGCCCGGAACACCTCCCCAGGAAGGCGTCCAGGAGGCATCCTGAACAGATGCCCGAGCCACCTCAACTGGTTCCTCTCGACGTGGAGAAGCAGCGGCTCTACTCCGAGCTCCTCCCGTGTGACTGAGCTCCTCACCCTATCTCTAAGGGAGCGCCCAGCCACTCTGCAGAGGAAGCTCATTTCGACCGCTTGTATCCGCGATCTCGTTCTTTCGGTCATTACCCACAGCTCATGACCATAGGTGAGGGAGGGAACGAAGATTGACCGGTAAATTGAGAGCTTTGCCTTTCGGCTCAGCTCCCTCTTTACCACAACGGTCCGATACAGCGACCGCATCACTGCGCACGCTGCACCGATCCGCCTGTCAATCTCACGCTCCATCCTTCCCTCACTCGTGAACAAGACCCCGAGATACTTGAACTCCTCCACTTGAGGAAGGACCTCTCCACCCACCCGGAGAGGGCAAGGCACCTTTTTCCAGTCGAGCACCATGGCCTCGGATTTGGAGGTGCTGATTCTCATCCCAGCCGCTTCACACTCGGCTGCAAACCGTCCCAGTGCATGTTGCAGGTCCTGGTTCGTTGGAGCCAGCAGGACGACATCATCCGCAAAAAGTAGAAATGAAATCCTGTGGTTCCCGAACCGGACCCCCTCCGGCCCCTGGCTGCGCCTAGAGATTCTGTCCATAAATACAGTGAACAGAACCGAGTGAGAGAGACAAATGCCCAAAAAAAAAATTAACAATTGTAAACCGCTTTGAGACTCAGATCTGCAATGAAAAGGCGGTATATAATTAAAGATTACTTACTTACTTACATTAAAGATTTAAAAGTAAATAAACCCAAACCCAGCCTTCAATTATAAATGTTTTGTTAAAAGCAATCACAAAAGCAAAATACAGAATAAAAATACAAAAGTGACCAAACGGGACGAAGGCGAGAGCTCAAAGAGACAAGGGTACTGACAGTACAGGGAGTGAAGGACGACACAGGGTTTGAACACAGAATGACAAATGAGATAAAAGTGAAACACATGAGAGCAGGGCAGGTAATCACACAACAGGAAGTATAACTAAAAACAAAGGGAGTAATAGGAACTAAGAAATAAACCCAAATCATGACAGTCGGTGTGTTTTTCCTTTTCACTATTATCTCACTTAAGTCAATACCATTTCTGAAAAACACTGCTAAGGAACCAGTATAACATTAATTAAACTAAACCCAATCAAAATGTATGACGTTTTGGAGCTATAGCAATATTGTCACATGACAGAGTGCAGCTGGGCTTTCTGAGATGAAAGGCTGCTGTAACTGCCTCGCCTTTCATTTTCCTAATGGAGGTTGTGGAAAGTCGCCCTTGGCTGCTGCTCTGCTCGTTGCTTCTTCTTGGCACAGTCTCCTCTTGCTGATTCAGCGCTTCTCTACATTTGTTTCGAGCAGTACCGCTCGACAGTAGAGCTGCTGGGTAAACAAGAGGTGTCATTTCGTTATTACATGACTGCCCCCATCCTCTGCTAATATGACAGCGTTTTCCTCTAGTGTCCAGGGCTGCCCTACCGTCCGTGAGGTGGGGCTCCTGTAACAGTCTCTGTGCTCTTGGTTTTGCAGAGACTTTGGCGGACTCCAATAGTGAGGAGTCAGATTCAGATCAGTCCGATGTTCCTGAGATGGACTCAGAAATTGAACAGGAAACCCAGCTCACTTACCGAAGACAGGTTTGTTTGCTCAATTAAACAGCAATTTTAATTTTCAACTATTTTATTTCAAACTCATGTCACACCAAGCACACATTCCTGCTTCCCAGTGTGTTTATGTGAACAGTAGAGAGAGGAGTCAGAGCCGAGTTGAAGGACTTCCATCAAGATTTGCAGGAAATTTTATTGTGAAATGTGTATGTTCTACCGAAACCAGATTGAAACCTGTCAATCATATTGTCAATAATATTGGTTCATTGTGTAATGACAACATACACATCATACAAACACAGTGGACAGTTTTAGTTTGAAACTTTATACTTGCTTAAGTTTGAGATTCTATTTTATTTAAGTGTAAACTAATTGTTCACTTATCCTTTGAATGAAGGAAGAATTGTTCTGTTTTGTAACTGGAGATGCAAAACTGACATTTTAATTATCTCTTATGTTGTTTTAGAAAGTTTATCCTTTCTCCACAGGTTTATAAAGAAGATCTACCTCAGCTCAAAGAGCAATCCAAAGAGAAGCAACGAGCACTGCCAATGAAAAAACGGGAGCGGGCACCGGGAAGCGGAGTGAAGCTTCACTTTATCCATGGGTAAGTCCCCATTGTAGACGAAGAAGGCTGTGTGTGGGTAAGGCAAGATTATTTGTGTAGCACAATTAATACACAAGTCAACTCAAAGTCCTGAACAAAACAAGTGTGTAATGACACAGGAGTGATAATAGAGTTGATATTGCCTTTGTCAGCTGTGTTTGTGCTGGTGTTTGCAGGTACAGGGGCTACGACTGCCGTAGTAACCTGTTCTACACGCAAACTGGAGAGATCGTCTACCACGTGGCCGCAGTGGGAGTGATCTACAACCGTCAGCAGAACACCCAGCGCTTTTACATGGGCCACAACGACGACATCCTCTGCCTCGCCATCCACCCGCTCAAAGACTTTGTTGCCACTGGACAGGTAGTCAGCACTACAGTCTCAGTTCTGACTGGCTCAGCTCTGACATCCACATCTATTCTGTATTTGTAGGTTGGCAGAGACTCCTCCATCCACATATGGGACACAGAAACACTGAAAGCTCTGTCGGTGCTGAAGGGGTTCCACCAGATCGGAGTGTGTGCCTTGGACTTTTCAGGTGTTTAATCAATCACAAGCTTTTGAAAGTGCAACGACTCTTCATGGAGATACGAATGTTTTGACTGGAAAAGCATAAACCTCTCCCAAGTGACATTGAATATAGCTAGAAAATAATAAGTGAAAGATAGATGAGGTTTTTACTATATGGTGGAATTGTAACTCACAAGGCTTAAAGTGTACATTTCATGACACAAGGAGGATAACAGGCACATACTGCACAGTTTTAGCTCCCAATGTTTATTATGCTTTACACTTACATTTCAGGGATTGTCAGACTTAAAAAAGCGGCACTCATGCACCTGTGTTTATGTGAACTGACTGCCAGATTTCCAAAGTTAAAGTTTGGGAAGCAATACCAATATCAAAATATACCATTTATGCAGTAGTCCCTCTCTATGTTTGGAAAAAAAATTGTGTGCAATTTTGCATACATTTTGCTGCTTCTTATATGGCATATATTCACTCCAGCAACATCATAGACAACATCATGTATCCGCCAGTATAACATGACAGTTACCTTTATTCACAGTCGGAAGAAAACTTTTGTGGCTTGTGTGCATTGTAGTGATTAGCTCAGAGCCCATTGCCCTCATGGCACAATATAAACACCACAGTCTACGGCCTGACCTGGTGGGTCAACACAGCAGCTGAAAAGATAATTTGGGTTTTGTGTCCACAGCTGATGGCAAGAGGCTGGCTTCAGTGGGATTGGACGACAATCACACCATTGTGCTCTGGGACTGGAGGAAGGGAGAAAAGCTCTCTGCCATGAGGTTGGTACACACACATCAAACGGTTTGCATTTCCTCTGACTTGTTTGTACGCTCATTCATTATATGGATCACATGGATTCTAACAATTATAGCTGGGGGACCAAACTTTCATACCACCATTTTTTTCCAAACTAATTCCTCGCTCTCATAACAGGTTGTTTCTAGTTTTCACATGCATGTACAGTATACGGGCTTCTGTCACATCTTTAGATATGTTTTTTTCAGACAGAAAACTGAAACAGAGATGAGATTTCTTAGCCAATCTCCGGCCAAAGCGTCGTGAATGACTAACCGGTGTTGTGGACATGATTCAGAATTTGACAGAAAAGAAGACCAAGATATTAAAGATAAAATAAACAATATTTAATTCTTTACTAATCCAAAACTCTGAGCTTCTATTTTCCTGACTATTCCTCTGAGCTGAGCCAAATTAACTCCTGAAACTAATAGAGGATTACCAGGTACTCTGCGAAGTCCTCTCTCTGTCCCAGGCTCAGACTGACTAACAGTGTCGTTCAAAACAGTTGTATGAAAATGTGTAGAAGAATAGGAAGGGCCCAACAGTAGTTTTTTTGGAGGACTTTACAAAACTGTTGAGTTCTGCAACATAGATCAGAGAAACACAGACTGGTGGAGTGGGCATAAGGGCAGATGACCAATGTCCATAAATATTGATAAATGTCCATAGATGTTGAAGCATGAAAACTTGCAGCTTATACATTAGTGCAGCGTTTATGTGGACAAAAGATGACTTTCTTATAACATGTAGTTGTGCACTTATATACAGGCGCACTTACAGTAATGGTCCAGCAAGTACTGTAGTCCTTGACAATACTACCACTCGTAAGAGATACTGGAGGATAATAGCTAAACCAATTGTAACGGGCCTCAAGGATTGTAAATAATTTTGACCAATCAGGAAGTGTAGGGGCCAAACCAGTGCTTGTCTTCAAAAAGTTTCACTCAGAATTAAATGTTCTCATATTTATTTAGATTAATTGAGTATCAAAAACAGTTTTGTTACAGGGCTAGAGGAAGACAAGGTGATTCCTGTTATTTCACAAAGCTGCTATATGAGCTAACAGAAGAAAACAAAACAGAGGTTGCTATTGGCATATTCTTTGCTGATATCTTATTGATTAGTGACATAACAGGTCACTCCATAGGGCAGTGACGGCGACGATCACCGAGTCTATAGGAGGTAAACAAAAATGTGAACAGATATGTGCCGCACTCACGTTGTATATTTCATGCTGTAGTGTTGTGTTTCCCAATCTGCTTTATGATTTACTGCAGCTGTGTTTGGACAAGTGTAATTGTTCTAAATATTTGGATCATATTTGGAGCAGGTCATGCACTCAAGTTGAATTGTTTGTTTGTTGTCTTGTTGACAAAGAAATTCCTCCCAAATATCTGACCTCCCTATAGTTCATGTTTTAGAATTATATTTCAGTATTTTAGCAGGTGCCAAAACAACTCTATGGCGAGAAGAACAGAAAAAAGACAGAAAATAGATGTTTCTTAAATTATTTCCCTGATCCTTATTTGATAGTGATTGGATTCACAAAGCCTCCATTATATTCCTATTTCTGAAATGATGCACAACTGGCTCCTCTCGATGTGG